GCGAAGGAATTGATGATGGTGAAGTGGAACCAAGTATAGATATTAAAGCAGAACAGAGAAAGACCAAGATTTGAAGCCAATAATTGATTTTCTACAAGCAAGTGTTTTGCGCTCTGCTTGGGATAAGGTGTCTACTTTAAGCCCTGTGACAAAGAAATATTGGGCACAATGGGACCAGTTGAAGCTTGAAGATAGTATTCTTGTCCGGAGATGGGAAACTGCAGATGGGAAAGTGACGACCTGGCAAACAGTTATACCGAGAAAGTTACGAGAAGTTGTGCTGCATCAATCCCATGATAGTTTAACAGGAGGACATCTTTGAGTTAAGAAGACGTTGAGTCACCTATGGCAGAGATTTTACTGGATAGGTATGAGTCAAGATGTGGAAGAATGGTGCAGGACTTGCAGTACATGTTGTGCTAAAAGGGGACCCAAGCATATGGGACGTGCTCCGATGAAGTTATATCAAGTTGGCGCACCAATGGAAAAAGTAGCCATTGACATTGCTGGTCCTTTGCCCCAAACTCGTGCTGGAAACAGGTACATTTGTGTGGTAATGGATTATTTCACCAAGTGACGCAGCTGATGACGGTGTCACCTGAAAAAGCCACTGTTGGAGAAAAACTCTACCCAGTTTTGAGAAGGAACACAATGAATCTGTTAATGAAGTTACTACCACAAATGTGACTGCTACCGATAATGGTACATTTCCTGATGGAGCAGATGGATCCAACATGAAGCAGAAGCCAATGAGACAGAGACCAGTACGAAAGAGACTTTGTTGTATTTTAATTTTGTATTTGTAAATTCTGTACATTTAATTTTGTATTTGTAAATTCTGTACATTTAATTAAGTTATTGTTAATTATCTATTGGTTTAATGTAAGTGGCTATTGTTTGGGACGAACAATACTAAGGAAGGGGCAATGTTACGACAGCGGAAGTCACATGACACTGTTGGTGCGTTTGGCGCTGGTAGCGTGCATGAAATTTCTCGAATGATCGAGGAGGCCTGAGTGCATTCGACCCTGGTTAGTCCAACCTCGCTTTTAACACTTACTGGAATTTGGCCTTTGTTGTTCCCATACATCATTTCATCAAAGTTAACTACACACTTCCTCGGTAGTAAGTAGTCTTTTAGTACACAGTAATTCCACAGTCAACACGCTTCTCGTCACTTTCATCTTAACTACTTTTATAGTACACACTATAAATCACAGCGATTCACACACTTTACTTACCGTCACTAATTATTCTTTAATTATCTATCTCTCGCTGGCTTCTCTGCCAGGCTTATATACTAACAAAGGGGGCGTATCATTCATCCTTTCAGATAACACTTTCATGAACTCTGACACATTTTCAGGCAACTCATCGTAAGGTGGGCGTCCTGTTATCAGATCCACTGGCAACCAAAGTTCCCAACTAAACATCAGCTTTGCTGGAGTGTATCCAGTGGCTTCATGCTCTGCTGTTCTATAGGCCATCAACAGTGGAGGGAACAAGACATCCCAGTAATCTTGGCGGCTATTATAAAACTTTGAAAATTCCTGTCCCAGTGTCCAATTGTACTTTTCTACCATCTCATCAGACTGTGGGTGAAGTAGCATTGTCCTGGTCTTTCGTATGCCAAACAACTTGCAGCATTCATGGAACACAGCTGATTCAAAGTTACGGCCTTGATCAGAATGCAGTTTGTATGGGATACCAAACCTGAAGAAAAATTCACTAATAGCCAAAGCTACAGCTGTAGCTTCCTGATTTGGTATTGCATATGCCTCAGGCCACTTGGTGAAATAATCCATCACCAAACAAATGTACTTGTTTCCAGCACGAGTTTGATGCAAAGGACCAGCAATGTCGATGGCTACTTTTTTCATTGGTGTGCCAGCTTGATATAACTTCATTGAAGCACGTCCCTTATGCTTGGGTCCCCTTTTAGCAGAACATGTACCATTCTTCCACATCTTGCCTCATACCTATCCAGTAAAATCTCTGTCATAGGTGACCTAATGTCTTCTTAACTCCGAGATGTCCTCCTGTTAAACTATCATGGGATTGACGCAGCACAACTTCCCGTAACTTTCTCGGTATAACTGTTTGCCAGATCGTCACTTTCCCATCTTCAGACAAGAATACCATCTTCAAGCTTCAACTGGTCCCATTGTGCATAATAGTTCTTTGTCACAGGACTTAAGCTAGACACCTTCTCCCAACAGGGCGCAAAACACTTGCTTGTAGATAATCAATTATTGGCTTCAAATCTTAGTCATTCTCCTGTTCTGCTTTAATACTTATACTTGGTTTCACTTCACCATCATCAACTCCTTCAGTCACTTTGACTTCAGCTTGATGGCACCTGGTTAGTCTGGCAGTGGGTGGTGATTACTAGCTGCCTTCCCTCCAGTCTTACACTGCTAAATTAGGGACAGCTAGTCCACAAGTAGCTTTGTGCAAAATCCATAACAAACAAACAAAAGCACTTGATGATGAATATTCAAACTTAAAAACGTCTGCTGACTTCATGGAACTATGTTATGATAAGAGATCTACTAAAGTCAGATTTGTACCAGGAGACAAGGTGTGGTTGTATAATCCCAGGAAGAACAAAGAGAAGTCTCCTATGTTGTCTTCTCCATGGAAAGGCCCATATGACATAGTGGATTGTCTCTCAGACGTGACTTTTCGAATAAAACGTGGTCAGCGAGGTAAGCCAAAGGTGGTGCATGCCAACAGGCTTTGGCGTTATTATGGTCCAGGACATTTCAGTTGTGATGAAGTGAACAATGAAACAAAAAGATGCCACTGAAGACGTGTCACCTGGAAAAGCCACTGTCGAAGAAGAAACTATCCGGTTTTGAGAAGGAAAACAGTGAAGCCCTTAATAAAGTTACTACCACTGATGTGTCTGTTACCGATAATAGGACATTTCTTGATGGAGCAGATGAACCCCACGTGAAGCAGAAGCCAAAGAGACAGAGACCAGTACGGAAGAAGATACATCCCATAAAATCAAGAGATTTTGTTTGTAAATTCTGTACATTTAATCAAGTTATTGTTAATTATCTACTGGTTTTAGTGTAAGTGCCTATTGTTCAGGACGAACAATACTAAGGAAGGGGCAGTGTTACGACAGCAGAAGTAACGTGACGCTGGCAACAAGTGATGAGATTCTCGAAGGATCATGAATTGTCCTGGCAACTCTGGTCTTTTCCAGGAGCCTTCTTTTTTTTTAATATATAAGCCTGGCAAATAAAGTGGAGAGAGAGAATGGCAGATAGAGAGATAGATAATTGAGTCAAGCGAGAGGTAGTGATGGTAATATAAAGTGTGTTTTGTTATCGAGATTACAAATGTATTGACTGTGGAAATTCTGTGTATTGCAAAGTTTTATCAAGAAAGAATGAACTAGTTTTAATTAAGAAAAGACTTGTATCGCTTAAGTTTCTCGGAAAGAATTTCTACGTGAAATTAACAAACAAGCAGATACGCAACAATATTATGCCTCTTTGCCTAGAATAATGATGTTTTTGTCTGGAACTTTTATAATATCTGGAACTGCTCACACACCTGTCTTATGATTTGGAAATAGGACAATGAAACCATCTTCTATAACTGTTGGTTAGGATACTCAACTCTCAATCTGCAGGTCGCAGGTTCAAATTCCCATCACCAAACATGTTCGCCCTTTCACACATGGGGACGTTATATTGTGATAGTCAATTCCCACTATTCATTGGCAAAAAGAATAGCCCAAGATTTGACGGTGGGTGATGACGACTAGCTGCCTTCCCTCTAGTTTATCACTGCTAAATTAGGGACAGCCTGCACAGATAGCCTTAGAGCAGCTTTGTACAAAATTCAATACGAAATAAACCAAATCTTCAACTGTTGTTAGAAAAAGGATTAAGGAATCTCTTGCCAAATTCTACCTTTCTTTTGTTTTTTCCTTACTAAATGTGAAACATTTTCTGTGGTTGTATTAAGATGACTTTAACTTTTCTTATTTGGTGTGTCTTGTCTTTAATTGTCAATAGTTATAGTAATTAGTTTAAAAATCATTTATGTATATGTATGTATGACAATTTTATTACAGTCAAGAGAGTAAATTACACCAGGAAAAAACCAAACATAATAATTTTCTTTACTTCTGGTTTATAATTAGAATACACTGTTAAATTAGTTAATCATACATCTGAGTTTAAGGATGTATCATAAACAGCTTAATACTTTGTAAACTTAAAACTAAGCCTAATATGGATGTGTAGTATTTTTTTTTTCTACGCTGTTGAAGATAATTATTTTATGTGGTTTACACAAAACTTACCATTCTTGTTGATTTTTTACTTATTACCTGCAAGAGGTGAAAGTACACGTATCTCTTACAGATAGTATCATTACAAGTTACAATGACTTAGCTTTTTCATTAAACTGAAATTAGTCTTATTGACAGACTATTCCAATGACATTCATTTTCATCTATTTTAATTACAAGTTGCAGAGTTATAATTTGGAAGTTTATAACATGCATGATAAAATTTCTTGTACCAAGAAGTGTTCAAGCAGATCCTTAACAGACTTAAAATATTTTTATGAAGTAATTTGTTATAAAATATATGTGAATATATATATACAGAGGTAAAGAGAAATGGTAATTGTAGGTCATACAAACCAATCTCTTTGCAAAAGTCTGAATTCTCACATTCTGAATACAAGTGCGTAAGAAAAAAATTTAATTTTCTGAAAACTTTATCCAAAGTATAGTATACAAACAGTTTTTACACACATGACAAGGAATAGCCATTTTTAAAATACACCAATGATAAATTTTATAAGTAAAAAACTCTTCATAAAGGCAATAATTCTTACATATCTGAGAATTTCAAAGTTTTTAATTTGAATTTTACTCTCTGTTGACATATTCTTGACTAGTGTAAGGATGTAATGACCAAGCATGTTTCTTAGATTTATTTTTCACTAACAAATCTATATAATAATTTACTTTTAGTTCACAACTGAATTTAAGAAAGAATGAAACATACAAATCAAATAGACTTTAGATACAAGTATCTAAGGTTTGGTTCAATGTATCGCCTATTATACAAAAGTCAGTTATTAACAAGAAATTTAAGATACATTAATTAAAAGGAATGCAACCTCTGTCTTTTTTTCAAAAATTTCTGTAAGCCTCTTAGTTCAACTTCATTTTGGAAACTTTTAGTCTTTACTCTTGATGGTGGAAGTTCTAAAGAAAGAAAATTTGTATTATAAATATGAAAACATTTGGTTTCTAAATTTTAATGATCTTCTTGTTCTTTTTATGAGCTATTAAAAATGGAGACTAAATATGAAATTAATAAAATGTATATGTATTTTTTTTATAAGGTGATAATCAACATGCAAGCTGAACAATAATTTAATTGTATTAACACTTTTTCAGAATGTATTAAACTGATGGTGCATTAATATGCAGTTTAGTGTTTATCAAGTACTTTAAATGCATTTTAAATTGTACCTATCCAGTTGACAGGCCCATTTATTCTACCCCCGCCCCACCCCCAAGCTAAGGAAACATACTTTCGTGCCCCATTGCTTGAAATTAATATTAATTTAAATAAATTAGTTATATATGTCTAAACCTTTCACAAAAAAAGGAAGGAGTCCATTGCAGAAAAGCTCACTCCTTTCAGAAATGAGAAAATTTACTGAAAAGAATATATTAATAAAGTTACTATTTCTTCACATACAAGTATTAATGAACTGTTTGACATTAAAACTTTTGTATGCCAATTAATGTTTGCCCTAAAAACACGAGGATTTTATACACTAGAAACATTTGACAATCCAAAATCTACAAGGAAAAGAAACAATCAATTAATATTTAAAAAAAAATATCATGCCTCCACACAAATACAGCAGCCAGGGTAAAAAATACTTTGTTTTTAAAACATATATACATAAAATAAATATCACAGTAACATTGCCAGTTACAAAGAAATGATATCCTGTATAAAGTGTCCTAAACATTTGGCTTTCTTTTTAGACTGTAAAATGTTTATTGTGGTTTGGGAAGTGGCACACTCGGTAAAAGACAAGGGTACACACTTCCTTGGAAACGTTTTAACTGTCAGCAAGGAAATTGCTGTTTTATGATGCATCTTTGGACACATTTGGAATATTGTGCTCAGCCTTGGGCTCCTTAATTCAGGAAAAACATTGAGTTGTTGGAAAGGTTTCAGAGAAGAGTTACTAGAATGGTACCTGGGATGAAGGGGTTGTCATACAAGGAGAGGCTGAAATCTCTCAAATTATTTTCTCTTGAAAAAAATAAGTTAGAGGGGGGATCTGATTGAGGTGTTTAAGATTGTAAAAGGAATTGATAGTGTTAATGCATCATATTTTTTTCATATTTAACAGTGAGAACAGTAGGACTAGGGGACAGAAATATAAATTTTGGCAAGGCAGGAGTCATCTTCACCTAAGACAGATTCTCTTTTTAACTGGGTGGTTGGCCTTTGGAATGGGTTGCCTTCAGATGTTGTAGAGGCAGTAAATTTAAGTGAGTTTAAGAAAAAACTTGACAACTATATGAATGATAAGTGCTGGCTTTAAGATTTTTTTATTATTATTTTAATCAAGAAAATGGAACAGCCAAGATGGACAAATAGGTCCCATGTTGTCCCAAAATATTATATTCAGGAAGCCAAACTCAGGGTTGTACTTGCAGCTTACCTTCTTAGCACAATATATTAACTTTTAATGGGTCTACAGCCAAAAATAGAATACCACTGCTGTCCCAGATTCAGAAGTGACACTGCATAATTGTATTGCAGTTCTCTTCCTAGTAAAATATAAGGAATCAATAATATATACTTGTTGGTGAAGTACAATTTTTTAAAATTATTCTCAGAGCTGCTTTTGAATTATGTTGAGACATGTCAGCTGCAAACGATGTTATTGTTGTTGTTGAAGTTAAGCACAAAGCTACACAATGGGCTATCTGTGCTCTGCCCGCTACGGGTATCGAAACCCGGTTTCTAGCGTTGCAAGTCTGCAGACATACCGCTGTGCCACTGGGGGGCAGCTGCAAACGAAATTATAAGTTAGGTACATAATAAGGAAAAGGTGTAAACAAACCCTTGTGTTGTGTATCAGAGGTCTTTATGCTTAAATTGCTTGATCTTTCTCTTGAGGAGCTACGACTTCTATTACTTCCTGTAAACAGAAATAGAAAAAATATAGATGAATAAGAAATTCATATTAAGCACAAGTTGCATGTGCAGCAAGTTTTTTTTATTTTAACTCTTTTGGGTATTTATAAAAAATATCCCCTTCTACAAAAAAAAAGTAAATCCAATGCAAAGTGTAATGAAACACATCTTTATAAAAAAGATACAATTTAAAAAGTTTTGCTTGTTTACTGTAATTTCCCTACACACATTCAAATTTTGTTTAGTAACTCAAAGTATTGTCTAGTTCAGCAAACAGGTTTAATATTTAGGTTAAGAATTAAAAAAAACTAACTAACTTATTTGCAAAACAGTGTGGGATCACATTACTGTTTTAAGATGACATATAAAATACATTCTTCATGATTGTGTAGTACAGTGATATTTTATAGTAGTCTTCATCTCATGTACAAACAAGATTTTTGTCATAAGATTATTAATATATAAAGTGGACCATGTGTCACAGTAGAAGGATAAACAAACAATATACTACAACTTGAAATCTTTACAGTTGTCACAGAAATTATTTCATTAACTAAGTCATTATGTATACAAAATATTTGTAACACTACTCAAGGGTCCCACATTTTGACATTGATAAAATTCCAGGACCTTTTAAGCTTATCAATATCTAAATTAAATACTTCATGCAAAACTTTTTTTGTCAGACTGTTATTAAGTTAATAAACAGAAAAAACAACAGTATCTTGTTCCACTGTTTTTTTCATTTAAATAATTATTTTATTTTGATAATACAGATTTTTATCATTTGTTGTTTCATGAGAACATCATAAGTTATGTACTGAAGATACTATTTAGCATGCAAATTAACCAGCATAACCACTAATAATAAACATAAAATGAGTCAACTCTCCTCCTACAGTGTTTATAAAAATCAGAACAACACACAGTAGTAGTTTGAAAAAACATTTGATGCTAAACTAAAAGTTTGAAGTGCTTTTAAAGGTTAAAATAGTGTGTACTTTAGAATATAATTTTTAATGAAAATAAATAAATAATTGCTGTTTCTTATAGGTCAGAAAAAAAAAGATCAAGTAAGAGTCAGAACGATTGGTAGAGATGGTTAGCTGTTGGTAACAAGAGTTCAAACCTACCAAACATTGAGAGCTGTCACTAAGTGTTTTTATATTAATGAGCTAAACGTTCATAACACCTAGTCCGGAAGTGGAAACTAACCTTAGTAGTTATAAGTGCAAGAAAAATGTCAGTTATGAGCTACAAGACTTCTGCCAACAGACTCTATAACTAGTTTGCTGGTGCTTGATACATTCCTTTTTAATGTTTTTTATTTGCTCTTACAAAAAGCAAGATAATTAAAATCTCTAAAAGTGTTTTACATAGATCATGATAAGAGCAAATACTCAACTAAAACAAGTACCGACTATAAGGAGAATAAAAATCATATCATATAGATTATTATTTTCTTTCAATTTAACAAATAAAAATTAAATTTATTTTTTCCCAAAACACATCAAGTGAAATGTCTATAAACCTTTGAAACACTGCTTCTTATTTATCCATAATTCATTTGTAGATGCTATGGTTTTTATTCTATTATTTCTTCAAGTTTTACAGCACTGAAATGATATTTAAAAGCCGTTCCAGATCTAGAAGAACAAAACTATAGATTCTCGCACTTTCCCCCAGAGGTTGAGATTTATAGGTTTAATATGCACACATGTGGTATTTTTCAAAATTTTGTTTAGTAACTTTAAGTTTGAATAAAATAATAGTTGTTTCCAGCAAGCTCAAAATGTTTATGCAGGCCAACTGTAGATTGTGATAGTCAATTAAGGCCATCATGGCAGGCCCATTTATCTTGGGTTAGGTCAAGTTGTAATGTAATGCATTATTTTCCTTCACAGTAGACACAACACAACATGTATGCAAAGTTCTGTTCAGTTTGGGCAGGAAGAACCCTTAATGTAAGTCATCCTTTTTTGTCATTTTTATTTCTGACATTTAAAATTTTTTTGGATATCTATTAATACAGTTTAAAACTTAATGTTAGAAAATATTTCAAAGACCATGTATAAAGCATGTTTGTGACACACATGCATATTACCATTCTGGAACTATCCAGGGTATTAACATGTTACGCAGTCTAAAGTACTAAAATTATTTTATAATCTTACATATCTGCAAACAAAGGTTTCTAATAACAAAACATTGAAAACCTTCCAAACACCAGTCACAGAAAAGAATTAATAACAATAATGAAAACATTATCAAAGGAATGAAAAAAAAGAAGCGACTCCCAGTTATAATTCAGTAAGCTGATTCGTCTAGAATGTATAAACAAAACAAGAAATAGGCTAATAAGTAGTCTGTGGCCTTTTAAATGTAAAACACACTTATAAATAAAGGACAAATAGCTGAATACACAATTGACTGTATACAGTATATAGGAGCTAAAGATCTCAAACTGAATGCAATGTTCAAGATCAACTCTGACCTCATTAATCATCAAGTTTACTATAAACAAACAAACACACACACAAAGTATTGGAAATAATTATGAAAATACACAGGTGATATTACATACAAGAGTCACAAACAATGAGTAATAGAAATAAAATGATCAGTTTTTCATTGCAATATACATTATTACACAAAATATACACTTGATTTTTATTGTACCACGTGTTTACCAATTACAAGTTATCAAATATTATAGTATATCTAATTCTATTTGTTATTATTGTACTTTTATTATAAAGATTATTTTAGACTGTTAGCTTAATATATGCGCTTAGGACTCATTACCAATACCTGGTTGAATTTTAGTTTCATTCTAAGGAGGGTTACTCTGATCAGAAGTTAATATTAACAACAGAATGGACAAAGGCTACATAAATAAAAGCTATAGAGTACTTGTAGAAAGGACTATTATAGCCGGTTTAAAGCAAAACAATTTCTATGTGTGTGTTTCTAGCATTGTATGTGCACAGACATAACGCTGTGCCACTGGTGGGCATAGCCTGTCTTCAGATGGGTGAAAGTCTAACAAAGAAGTTGTATAAACTATAGCTACTACAATAATGACAATATATAATGCCAACAGTAGAGCTGTGCAATATAATTGATTAACTACCGGCAACTATTACATTGATTATCATGAAAATAACCAAATAATTGCAATTATTGCTTCTGATTATTACTTTTTTTTCAATTATTCCATCATTTGATTAACCAAAATTACAACTACAATGATTGTCGGGTAAATAATCAACTAGTTGAAATTGGGGTTTCTGATTATCAATATTTTTTATTATTCCAACTATCCAACCAATCAAAATGCTAGTACCAAACTTGATTGCCCTGTCTTTGTTATAGCAAAATATTGAGGCCATCTGCCATTTTCATTACTGTTTAACATGACTAACAGTTGGTTGGACTCACTGGGAACTTTTTATTTATGTTGGTGAACTGAAGCCAGAAGGAAGGCAAACGATGTGGCAACACCTGCCATAAATACCACTAATTGCCCAGTTCTAGCCAACAAAACTATGAAACATCCACAGTCATGACTAGAGTTATAGTCAGTCTAAAGAAAGCCTACAATTAATCCTCTATAGAACATATACAGTCTGTCTTTGAATGGGAAATAGACTAAATTTAGAAGTACTATACCTTATCCACAAAGAGCTATGATTTCCCAATGAAGATTTTAGATATATTATATGAATCAATATAAATATTGCTTAAAAAAATACAGAACATTCATAACCACAGATATAGAATGTATGTTGAAATAAATAAAGTGTTTTTTCTTTTCTGAAAAAAAGAAAGAAAAAGACATTGGATAACAGAGGAAGGTACTCACCAAAAGAAGTCCGAGAACTTGACAAGCTTGGAATGTAATGATCTAAGCCAATTCTTCCAGCTGAAAGAGCTCGCCTTATTTGCTTTCTTCTAAATCAGGATAATAAAGAATTAATTATAAATTGTTCTACCTTACATACAGCGAAAGTTATTAAAATAGTGAATTACAAAAAAATAAAATAAAGTTTAGTAAATTGAAAACTATAAACAGTAAAATGAGTTTTTGACAGAATTACACATTAGAATAAAAATATCTCAAAACCACTTGAAAAAGCAACATACCCACTGAGGGACTTAAAAAATAAAATACAAACAAAATGACCACATACTAGGTTGAAAGATCAGTAGTATTGAAGAGTGTGCAAAATTAAAAAATGTTATGAATTTTTAATATAAAACAAAACATGATTTAAATCAATATTTAAATAATCACAATGCATGATCAAATTTGTTTTTCAGGTACTCAGAACATAAAATACAGATACCTGATAATAACCATAATCACAGATTCAAAGATTTAACTGTCAAAATGGATAGTTGTGAGTTAACTTGTTGAGTTTAAATAAGAGTCCAAGTTGTAGAAGAAAAACTAATAGAGTTTAACAAAAGATACATAAATTTAGAGTAAAACCAGACAATCAAACACAGATACACAAAACAAAGTGAATAACAAATCTGATTGTAATGAAAGAAATATGAGAAAGGTACAATTTAATTTAGAACTGAAGAAAAGCTATGACCACAAACTGTACGCAAAACTAACAAAACAAGTAGGCACAGTTGATCATTTTAAAACAAAGGGAAAAAAAGGACAGATCTATATAAATCAGTCGACTATAGGTTTAGAAGTGATCTTCCTGAAGATACAAAAACTGCTCTCACCACTAGCAATACTCTCTATAACTAGACAATTACATGCTCATCATATCAATCTTTAGCATAGGCTTAATTTCATGATCATTCATTTTTATCATTAATAAGTATTATTTGGGGTAAAGATACACATATAGTCAAAATGAAAATTTCATCTTGAATTTTATTCAGATGGAAATCAAAAGATTACAGGAAAACAATTATTCAGATTCTCATTACTGTCAAAATGGTAAAATATATTTTATTCAACAACCAGGCAGCATATGTGTGTGTGTCTATATACAAATATATATCCCTGAATATCTATGCCACATATAAAACTACTTATAAAGTAAAAGAGACAGGCACAAAGATTAAGAAAATATTATTCATTTGAGGCATTATAGGAAATTTTTTCAGATGCTTCCATGTTGTTTCAAGTATCTCTCGAGGTAGTGAAAGCCATCTAGGTAAAGATCAGGTGCTGGAGAAATTCTAGAGCAGAATGTATACAGAACTTTAAACATATATTCCCTGACTTTTCCCCAACCATTTGCATTCTATAAACATATGTTATGCTCAGAAATCAACACAAAAAAAAATTATCTGACTTTTAGACATTTTTTCCTTGACTATATACACTCTATACAGCATTCAATCACTCTAGTATGCTAACATCAATGAATTCCAATCTTTGTTTTTTCACCAAGAAAATGAGTTTAAATATATGTAATATCTGGCATATCACACAAAATAGTATACACAAGCAATTATATTTATTAAGCACTCAAACTAATTTTCAAGCAAAACTTATTAAAGCTTAACCCTTTCGAGACGAGTCATGGGTGAAAGGCCATGTCATCTCATTTGTTAATATTTTTTCAATATTTTATTGAATTACTATTCCATGAATTTATGTCAATAACACTGGTATCAAACTGTACATTATAATTCAAATTTTAGTACCATATATTACTCAATTTCTTAATTTAAAAGCAAATATTAAAAAAAAGAATAAAAATTGATTTTTGTGAGACACATGGTATGTTGAATGCAGCACTGGTTAGAATTGAAATTCAAATTACTGATATTGACAAGCTAGAACATAAAATAACAGCCTCTTATCATTTCAATTTGCTAAGATATTGCTCATGTAATAAATCAAACACA